CTTTGGGAGCATTACCTTCCATAACTGATGATTCAAAGGAAGAATGTCAGAACTGAACAGAGAATGAGGAATGAGAGCTGTTGCCAGAATCTTTCCTTTCACTCTTCCAGACTTACTTGATACATACTTGAAATACTCAAAGTGAATGGGGAGAGTGGAATACTTTTTCACTTTAATTTTGGCTTGGGGAACTAATTATATGCATAAGAACTTTAAATTAAGATCCACAGATGCTTGAAAATATAAACAATTCAAAAACCAATTCAGGACCAAAATGCAGCTGTCTATTTTGAATCTCGATTTTAATTACCAATATGGGAAGAATACATTCAACTTAGTCAAAAGAAAGGGGACAATGGAGAACGATTAAAGATTATACCAAGTTGTGCTATCCTTAACTCATGGTAGAAATTAATGATTTCAACAAATTAAAAAAGAGAAGGCTTACCAGTGACATAAACAGTCCTTTGAAGAGTAACTTCCCTACAACAAAGTTAGCTGTGGCCATATTTTATTTGATTGTGCAGACAGTTCGGAAAAAAGATGGTTTGCTGGCATCACTGGTACTAATACCAAGTGTTAAAATTCTAAATCAGTACCACAAAGGAAGAGGAAATTAAAACAATAATTAGGAACTATTTTACCCAACTGTATACCAATAAATTTGACAATCTTAGTGAAATGGATGAATATTTACAAAAATACAAATTACCCAGATTAACAGAAGAGGAAATAAAATACTTAAATAACTCTATTTCAGAAAAGAGAAATTGAACAAGCCATCAATGAACTCCCTAGAAAAAAAAATCTCCAGGGCCAGATGGATTTACAAGAGAATTTTATTAAACATTTAAAGAACAATTAATTCCAATACTATATAAACTATTTGGGAAAATAGGTCAATAGGGCAGCTAGGTGGTACAGTGGATAGAGCACCGGCCCTGGAATCAGGAGGACCTAAGATCAAATCCGGCTTCAGACACATAACACTTACTAACTGATTGACCCTGGGCAAGTCACTTAATCCCATTGCCTACCCCCCAAAAAAGCAATTATATCTTTATTTTGGGGCAGTTAGGTGGCACAGTGGATAGAGCACCGGCCCTGAAGTCAGGAGGACTTGAGTTCAAATCCAGCCTCAGACCAAACATTTGACTCTTATTAGCTGTGACCCTGGGCAAGTTCACTTAACCCCAATTGCCGCCCCCCCCCAAAAAAAAGATGAAGAAGAAGTCCTACTAAATTCTTTTTATGACACAAACAACTGATACCTAAACCAGGAAGAGTCAAAACAGAGAAATAAAATTACAGACCAATTTCCCTAATGAATATAGATGCAAAAGTTTTAAATACAATATTAGCAAAAAGAATACAGCAATTTGTCACAACAACAATACACTATAGTGAGGTAGAAATTATACCAGGAATGCAGGGCTGGTTCAATATTAGGAAAACTATCATTATAATTGACCATATCAACAACAAAACTAATAGAAACCATATGATTATCTCAAGAGATGCAGAAAAAGCTTTTTACAAAATACAGTATCCATTCCTATTGAAAACACTAGAGGGCATGGGAATAAATGGAATCTTCCTTAAAATGATAAGTAGCATGTACCTAAAACCATCAGCAAGCATTATATGTAATGGGGATGAGCTAGAAGCGTTTCCAATAAGATTGGGGGTGAAACAAGGTTGTCCATTATCACCACTGTTATTCAATATGGTAGTAGAAACATTAGCTTCAGCAATGAGAAGAAAAAGAAATTGAGGGAATTAGAATAGGCAAAGAAGAAACAAAGCTATCACTTTGAAGATGATATGATGACATACTTAGAGAATCCTAGAGAATCAAGGAAAAAACTACTTGAAATAACAAACACCTTTAGCAAAGTTGCAGGATATAAAATCCGCATAAATCATAGGCATTTCTATATATTACTAACACCACCCAACAGCAAGAGATAGAAAGAGAAATTTCATTTAATGTTACTGTAAACATTATAAAATATTTGGGAGTCTACCTGCCAAAACAAACCCAGGAACCATATGAACATAATTACAAAACAGTTTCCCACAAATAAAGTCAGATCCAAATAATTGGAAAAGCATCAGTGGCTCATGGGTAGGCTAAGCTTACATAATAAAATGACAAATCTACCTAAATTAATTTACTTATTCAGTGCCATACCAACCAAATTACCAAAAAATTATTTCATAGAGCTAGAAAAAAATAATAACAAATTTCACCTGGAAGAATGAAAGGTCCAGAATATCAAGGCAACTAATGAAAACAAATGCTAGGAAACATGGCCTAGCCATACCAGATCTTAAATTGTATTATAAAGTAGCAATCATCAAAACTACTTGGTACTGGCTAAGAAATAGAGTGGTGGATCAGTGGAACAGGTTAGGTATACAAGACACAGTAGTCAAAGACTATAGTAATCTACTATTTGATAAACCCAAAGACTCCAGCTTCTAGGATAAGAACTCGCTATGTGACAAAAACTGCTTGGAAAACTGGAAAAGAGTATGGCAGAATCGAGGCATAGATCAAAATCTCACAGCATATACTGAAATAAAGTCAAAATGGGTTCATGATTTAGATATAAAGGCTGATACTGTAAACAAACTGGGAGAGCAAAGAATAGTTTACCTGTCAGATTTATGGAGAATAGAAGAATTTATGACTAAACAAGAGATAGAGAACATTATGAAATGCAAAACGGATAATTTTGATTACTTTAAATTGCAAAGTTTTTGCACAAACAAAGCCAATAAAACCAAGATTAGGAGGGACACAGAAAACTGGGAAAGAATTTTTACAACTAGTATCTCTGATAAAGGCCTCATTTCTAAAATATATAGAGAACTAAGTCAAATTTATAAGAATATAAGTTATTCCCCAACTGATAAATGGTCAAAGGATATGAAAATGCAGTTTTCAGAGGAAGAAATTAAAGTTATCTAGAGTCATATGAAAAAATGCTCTCAATTACTATTGATCAGAGAAATGTAAATCAAAACAACTCTGAGGTACCACATCACACCTATCAGATTGGCTAACATGACAAAACAGAAAAATGATAAATGCTGGAGAAGATGTGGGAAAATTGGAACACTAATGCATTGTTGGTAGAGTTGTGAACTGACCCATCCATTCTGGAGAGCGATTTAGAATTATGCACAAAGGGCTATAAAACTACGCACACCCTTTGACCCAGCAATACCACTTCTAGGTCTGCATCCCTAAGAGATCATAAAAATGGGAAAAGGACCTAACATGTACAAAAATATTTGTAACAGCTTTTTTTTTGTAGTGGCAAAGAATTGGAAATTGAGGTGATGCCCATCACTTGGGGAATGACTGAACACGTTGCGGTATATGAATATAATGGAACACTATTGTGCTATAAGAAATAATGAGCAGGGAGACTTCAGAAAAACCTGTAAAGCATGTGAATGAACTAAAGTTGAGTGAAGTGAGCAGAACCAGGTGAATATTGTACACAGTAACAGCCACAATATGTGATGACTAACTTTGACAGACTTATCTCTTAGCAATGCAAGGATCCAAGAGAATCAAGGAAAAAACTACTCGAAATAACAAAGTTGCAGGATATAAAATCCACTGGCACTAATATCAAGTGTTAAAATTGTGGTAAAAAAGAGAACTCCAAAGGACTAATGATGGAAAATGCTATCCACATCCAGAAAAAGAACTATGGAGTCTGAATACAGATTGAAGCATATTATTTGCTCTCTCTCTTTTTTTCTTTTTTTGTTTTTTCTTTCTCATGGTTTCTCCCAATGGCTATAATTCTTGTCTACAACATGACTAATGTGAAAATAGGTTCAATGTAAATGTACATGTAGAGCCTATATCAAATTGCATGTTGTCTTGGGGTGAGGGAAGGGGAGAGATGGGGAAAAATTTGGAACTCAAAATCTGATGGAAGTGAATGCTGAAAACTAAAAATAAATAAATAATTAAAAATTCTAAATCAGTGAAAAACTAGATTCAATCAAATTCAACAAATATTTAGGTGTCAACTAATTATAAAGTATTGTGTTAGATACATATACTGTGCTGAAACGTTAAAGATTTAGAAAAAACACAACACTCTTTACCCTCAAAGAGCTTATATATTCTACTAGAAATGGTACAAGTTTAAGATAAATGAATAATCCAACAGAAATTATGAGCTATAGCAAAGTTCAACTATCTAGAATATAATTCATAAAAAGCCCAATTCTTGTGAAAGCTAACTTGTAATAATCAAAAACAAGCATCTTCTGTTTGGTTTTTCATCTGAAATAAAGAATCTCTAAGGTAGTGTCCCTTACTATTTAATCCAAGGCATTAACTCAAAATCAACTTCCATTCCTGCCAGCACTATCATTTTCTTTGGGATCTATCTCAGCTTGAGGATTCATTAAGTATAGAAAAGTTAGAGTAAATTTTATTTATTTACTATAAAATGCACTCTTTTAGTGGAATATTTTCTAATTTATAGGAACTTTTTGACTGCGAGTGCTCAGTACCCATACTTACATTCCATATTTACCTGAATTGTAGGAAAAGTCTACAACAGCATTTTAAAACAGAACTAACAACAAAGAATCACTCACAAACGATGCATTAAATGTTATAACACAGAATTTATATCCTGTCTTTCATCTCACAGCAAATTCTACCAATGAGAAAGCATATATACCCAACTTCACTCCCCATGCAGTTTTTTCATTCCTTCACTTTGGATCAAAAAAACGGGGAAATGCAACTATCGGGTTAAAAGTTGTATTTCCACCAGGGGATTCTGGAAGAGGTAAGTTTTTCTTCATTATTCTGTTATTTGTGTTATTCAGTTCTCAATCAAAGGATATATACAGAATGCTTTTTTCCAGCTAAAGTTTCAACACAAAGATAACTCTTTTCCATTAAAGATGCTCAAAGTGTGAGTAGCATTATCACTTGTTTTAAAAGAACATACCTAAAAGTGCAGTAAGTTTGGGAAGTAGTCCAACTTGTACCATCTTGTTTCTCAGTCCTGTATCAAAGGACAGATTTAACAAAAGTCTTAGGGTGATATTTAGGAGATCTTCATGTTCACAAGGTACCATTTTCACCAATTTTTCAACGATGTCCATTTCTACCTATAAAAAAACAGGATAAGAAAAACTGAAATTCAATTTAAAGCAATAGAAAAAACCAATTTTTCTTTGTCTGTAATAAGCTGTATACTTTCTATGTAAATATTTAATGCATTATATGTATGTACTTCAGATCAAAAGATCCTCCTTAAAACAAAACTCTTATTTTTCAACACTGACATTTTCCTAGTGATGCAATAGAGCTGAGAATCATGTAACACACAGAAACTCAGGGTTGGAAGAGGAAATTCTACAAAATACTTTGGTCATCCATCATTTGCTTAATGAAATCCATTAAGGGAGAAGTCACTATTTCTAGACGCAGCAAATTTCATTTTGGGATAGCTGTAATTGGTTAAAAATTATTTTTAAAGTTCTTCTTACACAAAGCCTAAATTTACCTCTTCACAGCTTCCACCCATTGCTCCCAGTTCTGACATACGTGATCAAGCTTATGTGACAAATATAATCCCCCATCCACAAGACAGCCATTCATACACTGGGAGATAGTTATGGTATTCATGAACATTTCCCTTTCTCGCCAAGCCTTCTCTGCTAAACATCCCCAACTTCTTCAGCCTGGACACTACAAATTCCTCTTCATTCAGTCCAAGATTATATTAGGTTTCTTGGTCGTCATATGATGCTGTTGACTCACACTGTGCTTCCAGATCATTTCAGGATCTTTTAAAAAAAAACCTGCTAGATAGCAGTTACTGGTACCCCAACACCATAGTTTCCAAAGAATCACAAATTATAGGTTACCCAAGGGACACTGGAAACTATATGAAAGATGAGTTCAAATGTACTGTAGCATATCACCAATGATAATAATTTGTGTGCAAGATGTGCTATAAAAGAAATCTCCAAGGTCATTTATGACTAGAGAAGGAGTTAGGTTAATCATGTAGCAAGAGGGAGGGATAACAGATGGGCAGTTAAATATAAATTAACTGTTAAACTATTGCTCTTCTGAAATTATCCAGTACTTTGGGTAACTCCCCTATGTATGATTAATGAAAGGACATGGATAAGAATCACAGAGAATGAAAAGATTCCATCTATACAGAGGGAATATCCATATCATGAAACCATCGAAGTATCACAGTTATGTACTTACATACTTCTCTCCTACCACATTTTTCTCCCATCAAAATTTTGAGAACCTTTTCCATAATTGATCATTGATCTCAAAATTCACAATTTTCACAATTCATAATTTCATAATTTTAAAATAATTTTCAGATGCTATCTGTCAATGTTGTCTGAAAGCTAAATAAGCATACTTGAAGATATCTAAATGAACTTACTTTCTGAAAGAGAAAGACTGTCTAAGGACTACTGACATCTCTTCAAATCCTCTTATTAAGAAATGACAAGTTTTAACTGGAGTGAATATTAAGCTCTTGGTTTGGGAACAAGTTTGGACATTATAATTCATAGGATTTAGTTTTGATTATTTCGGTGTGGTTCTTTCCATTTACTTGTGGAAGTCATTGTGTATGTTGTATTCCTGACTCTGCTTACTTCATTTTGCCTAAGCTTATAAAAAATCTTCCCAGATTCCTATCTATACATTATTTTCATGATTTTTTATAGAAGAGAAATATTCCATTACATTTATGTATAACTATTTGTTTAGACATTTCCCAATTGATGATGGGCAACTACTTTGTTTCCAGTTCTTCGTTACTATAAAAGTGTTGCTACATAGACTGTGATGTATATAGGACCTTTCTTCTTACCACTGATCGCCTTGGAATATATGCCTAGCAGTAGGTTCTACAGGCCAAGGTATGGGCATTTTAGTTACTGTCTTAGCACAATTACAAGATGCTTTAGAAAAATGCGAAGTTCCACTCACAGTGCATTAGTGTTCCTGGTCTTTCCACAACCCATCCAGCACTGATTATTTTCCCTATTTGGCATCTGTGCTCATTTACTAGGTGTTAAGTGAAAGCCCAGAACTGAATGGATTGGCATTTCTTGTACATTAGTGATTTGAAGGAATTTTTCACACAGTTAATCATTTGTAATTCTTTTTTCTTTGGCCACTTAAACACTGAGGAATGGTTTTTGGTCTCATATTTGTATTAGTTCTCTATATATTTTAGATACAACACCATTATCAAACATATCTGATATGAAGATTTCCCCTCCCCCTAATTATTTCTCTTTATAGCTTCAATCCATTAATTCTATGTGCAAAATCTTTTCAATTTCATGTAATGGAAATCATTTATTGTATCTTTTGTGATTGCATATCTCTTATTTGGTTAAGAATTCTCCCTCTAGGAATCAATGGGGAAAATGTGAAGGAAGGCAGCCTAGCACTACTGGATTTCAAACTATATTACACAATGATAATCATAAAAAAATTGATATTGGCTAAGAAATAGAGGGGTGGACCAGTCAAATAGATTAGGTATACAATACACAGTAGTAAATGTCCATAGAATTCAGTGTCTGATAAACCCAAAGATTCAAGTTTTTGGGGTAAGAACTCACAATTTGACAAAAATTGCTGGGAAAACTAGAAAGTAGTTTGGAAGAAACTAGGCAAAGACCAATATCTCACACCATATATCAAGATAAGGTCAAAATGGATAAATGATTTGGACATAAAGAGCTATGTTTTAAGTAGATCAGTGGAGCATAGAAAAATGTACTTGTCAGAGCTATGGATAAGGGAAGAGTTTATGACCAATGAAGATATAGAGGGGATCATGGAAAGTAAAATGGGGAATTTTTATTACATGAAATTAAAAGGTTTTTGCACAAAAAATCTAAAGAACTCAAAATTAGAAGGAAAACAGGAAACTGGGAAAAAAATTTTACAGCAAATTTCTCTGATAAAGTCCCCATTTCTTAACCATATTGGGAACTGAGCCAAATGTATAAAAATAAGAGTCATTCCCCAAATGGGCCAAAGGATATGAACAAGCACTTTTCAGAAGGAGAAATCAAAGCAATTAACAGTCATATAAAAAAAATGTTCTAAATCACTACTGATTAAAAGAAATGCAAATTAAAACAACTCTGAGATACCATCTCACACTTATCAGACTGGCTAACAATGGGAGAAAAGGAAAACGACAAAAGCTGGAGGAGATGTGGAAAAATCAGGACACTAACACATTGTTGGTGAAGTTGTAAACTAGTTAAATCATTCTGGAAAACAATTAGGAACTATGCCCAAAGGGCTATAAAACCATGAATACCCTTTGACCCAACAATACCATTACTAGGTCTGTATCCCAAAAAGACTGAAGAAAAGGGAAAAGGACCTATATGTACAAAAATATTTATAGCAGCTTGTTTTTTTAGAGAATTAGAAATTGAGGGGATTCTCAGCAATTGGGGAATGGCTGAATAAGCTGTGGTATATGATTGTAATGAAACACTTGTGCTATAAGAAATGATGGGCAGGACAGTTTCAGAAAAACTTGGGAAGACTTGTATGAACTCATGCAAAGTGAAGTGAACAGAACCAGGAGAATATTGTATACAGTAACAACAATATTGTAAGGATGATCAACTATGAAAGACTTATCTATTCTGGGCAAGACAATGATCCAAGATAATTCCAAAGGACTCATGATAAAAAATGCTATCCACCTCCAGGGAGAGAACTAATGAACTCTGAATGCAGACTGAAGCATACCTTTTTTACTTTAGTTTTTCTGGGGAAGTTTTGTCTGTTTTCTTTTGTAACATGGCTAACATGAAAATATGTTTTGCACAACTTCACATGTGTAACTTATGTCATATTACTTGCCTTCTCAATGGGTGGGGAATGGGAAGGAGGGAGGAAGAGAATTTGGAACTCAAACTTTTAAAAAAATGTTAAAATTTTTTACATGTAATTGAGAAATAATGAAATATATATGTATGTGTGTATATATATATATACACACATACATATGAAGAATTCTCCTTCTAGTGCCCAGATTGATGAATAGTTGACAAATTATTATATATAAATATTATGAAATACTACTGTACCATATGAAATGATGAAGGGATAGGTTTAGAGAAACCTGGGAAGACTTGTATGAACTGGAGCACAGTGAAGAGGGCAGAACCAGAAGAATAATATACACAATAACAACAACATTCTAAGTACAAACAACTGAGGAAGTTTTAAGAACTCTGACCAATACAATGGCCAGTCACAATTCCAGAGGGCTGAAGATGATCTATGTTACTCATCTCCTGACAGAGAAGTGATGTATTTGAAATGCAGAATGAAACATGCATTTTTTTTTCCAGAAATGGACATTTGTTTTGTTTAATTAACTATGAATATTTATTATGAGTTTCTTTTTCTTTTTAATTAGAAGGTGGGCAGGGGAGAAAATAAATGCTTATTAATTAAAAAAACCAATTCCCTATGCATTGCTGTGAAAGGTATCTTATCTCATTCTCTATTTTTTATAGTATGAATTTTAATATTTAGGGCACACGTACATTTTGAGCTTACAGTGATATTTGTTGTCCAACTGTCTTTTGCCTCTCTTTGTATTCCCAGTGCTTAGTGCAGTGTCTGCCATATAGCCATCATTTAATACATGTTTACTGATCAATTGATTGAGATGCAAGTGCAAACCTAATTTCTGACAAACTGCTTTCTGATTTTCTTGGTAGTTCTTGTCAAATAAGGAGTTCTTTCCCCAACTAATTTATATTATAAGGTTATCAAACACTGAGTTATTAAGGTAATTTTTTTCTGATTCTTCTTTATATAGGATCTTTCACTGATCTGCTTTTCTGTTTTTAACCAGGATCAAATATTGTTGATAATTAATGATTTATAATATAGTGTGAAGTCTGTAAGTGCTATAGGTAAACATACTTTGTAAAAGGGGTCGTTTAGATGTCTCTTGGGAAATATCTCTTGAGTAAAAACAAACTATCAATAGTTTGTTGTTGTTGTTTTTGGTGAAGCAATAGGAGTTAAGTCACAGGGTCACACAGCTAGTAAGTATAAAATGTCTGAGGTC